GAGCAATGAAGGGGTTCAAACACAGAAGTGGAAAGTGTCCCAACCCCATCTTGATCCTTCATACAGATTGATAACCATGCATGTGGTGCCTGTGCAGACATTTTAGTTTTACCTCTGCAAATACTTTCATCAACCACTTCCTTGTGTGCATTCTTGTCCGGAGCTTGTGTGATGGCAGCATCTAGTTAGAGAATAAAAAATGTTTTTATAATGGATGAGCAGAACCCATTGTAGTTGTTATAGTGTATAAAGTCTTTGGGTGCTGTCTCCCTTGTTTGTGTCAAACAGTTTTAAAATGGTCGCAGCACATAACTCCTGGTCATTGTGCTGTGGCTCAGATAATGCATATGTTTTTAATGCTTGCTCAGTTTTGTGCATCTTCTTATTTCTTATTATAGAATGCAGGGCTTAATTTCTTTAAAATTATACTACAAATGAAAAATACATCATTTATCAAATTTTACAACTGACAAACAGGTCACCAAGCTACATCATTTAAATTCATTTTACAGGGTTGTTTACTAAAGTGAGAATTCAAAATAAATTCAAATTGAATTTCAAATTTAATACCAGAGTAGCCGAACTGGAAGCATAGCTGAGTTAGAGAATTTTGCCAGTTTGGTTCTTTTGACCTTAAATCTTAAATTCACTTTGGATTTACCTAGAATTCTCACTTTATTGAATAAACCTGTCCGTTTTCATTCAAATAATGTAACAATGAGATGTGAATAAGATTATTATGTGTCTTCATTTAGAGAATGTATACAAAATATAAAGCAGGGGAAGGAAACCTTTAAAACCCATAATGTTATGGACTACATCTCCCATAATGCTCTTATGCCCATAACACTGGCAGAGCATCAGGGGAGATGTAACTCACATCACCTGGAGTGCCAAGAAGGCCTACCCCTAATATAAAAAATAAGGGGTAAATGGAAAATGTTAACATTTACAATACAAGGCAGTTCAAAAGGCCTAGGTAAAGAGAGAAGAAATTAAAAAAAAGAGTTACAAAGGGGTGAGTGAGGCAGAGAGGTGGAAAGAGGGAGACTGCATTGTGATATGGAAGGATCATCTTTCAATACAGTTGGAAGACTTTCGACGTAATCTTTACAATGGGGCTATATTTTGTATCCTTAGAGATAGCTGTCAATTATTCCATGAGAATAGTGCTGTATCTGTACCCATCTGTTTTTCAAACCACATCCACAGTTGTTCTAGCAACCAGCAGCATTTTAAACAGCAAAAGTTTTCATGCCTTTTAAATTTTACAAGGGGCCAAAATAAAAGAAAACACTTGCCCAGGGCAAGCTATGACTATATTCTGCATGACCCGATATCTTCAAGAAATACTTTGTGGCTTGATTATTGCTACCACTGCACAGGGCATCAGATGGCAAGAGATTAACTATCAGGCGGGCCTGGACCATCACCACTGGGTCATTGTTACACCAATCAGGTGAGTGGTCCCTGCTATCGTAAGACTGATTGTCTCAGACACGGAGGTGGAGCCAGATGCGCCGAGACCAGTGTAGCATGGGAGAAAAGCTGAATAAAACTTCCCTTTGAGCGTGAGTGGGGACGGTAATCTAAAATGCCACATCAGGACTATAGTTTCAGAAATGCATGTTTGTATTCCTGATACTATATTGTTTGTTTAATATGTGTTTACTATAATTTAAAATTCCTCATGCCCATCTGAAATCTTTTACTATTTTTACAGTCAAAACCATTTTGAAAGCCACAGGAATAAATTCACTAAAATGTAAATTGTTGAGAATTGACAAAGGAATGTTTAGTTGGTTTTAGGCTCAAATTAACAAATTAGAAAAAAAATCCAGTTGAATTTCTGGTTCAACAATTTGGCCTTAAAATTTGCAATTCCCTTGTCAGTACTCTACATATTAGTGGATTGTCTCATAATGGGTATTGGAAAGAAACACACGGGGTTATTCACTTAAGTGAATTCAAAATGAATTTAAAATTTAAAGGGACACTATAGTCACCAGAACAACTACAGCTTATTCTGTTCAGGCTTTTTGCAGTAAACACAGAGAAAAAAAACAGTGTTTACATTACAGCCTAGGAATACTTCCACTGGCCACTCCACAGAGGGCTGCTAGAGTTGCTTCCTGGGGCAGTGCTGCACAGTATGTAATACTGCCATTCAGTGTCTCCACCCTCTGCATTGAGACACTAAACTTTCCTCATAGAGATGCATTGATTCAATGCATCCCTATGAGGAGCTGCTGATTGGCCAGGGCTGTGTTTGACTTTGTCCCTGATCTGCCTACTTGACAGTCTCAGACAATCCTATGGGAACATTTTGTGATTGGCTCAGATCATAACTTCTGGTTATGTCAGCCAAGCAGGCAGATCAGGGGCAGACCTAGCAGCAGACTGGAGTAAAGGTAAGATTATACTATATTTAGGGATGGCAAGGGGGGTTAAGAGGGCTAGATGGTGGTTTTAACACTATAGGGTCAGAATGTTTGTGTTCCAATCACAAGATTGTTAACAGGAGTAGTCCCAGAAGATTGGAAGTTAGCAAATGTTGTGCCCATTCACAAGAAAGGTAGTAGGGAGGAGTCGGGAAACTATAGGCCAGTAAGCCTTACTTCAGTAGTGGGGAAAGTAATGGAAACCATGTTAAAGGATCGGATTGTTGAACATCTACAAACCCATGGATTTCAAGATCAGAGACAACGTAGTTTACTTCAGGGAGATCATGCCAAACTAATCTTATTGATTTTTTGATTGAGTAACTAAAATAATAGATCAGGGTGGGGTAGCAGACATTGCTTACCAAGATTTCAGTAAGGCTTTTGACACTGTTTCACATAGAAGGCTTATCAATAAACTGCAATCTTTAAGTTTGAATTCCAATATTGCTGAATGGGTAAGGCAGTGGCTGAGTGACAGGCAACAGAGGGTTGTAGTTAATGGAATATATTTGAAGCATGGGCTTGTCACCAGTGGGGTACCTCAGAGATCTGTACTTGGACCCATTCTCTTTAATGTTTTTATCAGTGATATTGCAGAAGGTCTTGATGGTAAGGTATGTCTTTTTGCTGATGATACTAAGATATGTAACAGGGTTGATGTTCCAGGAGGGATAAGCCAAATGGCAAATGATTTAGGTAAACTAGAAAAATGGTCAGAGTTGTGGCAACTGACATTTAATGTGGATAAGTGCAAGATAATGCATATTGGACGTAAAAACCCAAGGGCAGAGTACAGAATATTTGATAGAGTCCTAACCTCAACATCTGAGGAAAGGGATTTTGGGGTGATTATTTCTGATGACTTAAAGGTAGGCAGACAATGTAATAGAGCAGCAGGAAATGCTAGCAGAATGCTTGGTTGTATAGGGAGAGATATTAGCAGTAGAAAGAGGGAAGTGCTTGTGCCATTGTACAGAACACTGGTGAGACCACACTTGGAGTGGTGTACGCAGTACTGGAGACCGTATCTTCAGAAGGATATTGATACTTTAGAGAGAGTTCAGAGAAGGTCTACTAAACTGGTTCATGGGTTGCAGGATAAAACTTACAAGGAAAGGTTAAAGGAAACTTAAATGTATAGCTTGGAGGAAAGACGTGACAGGGGGGATATGATAGAAACATTTAAATACATAAAGGGAATCAACACAGTAAAGGAGGAGACTATATTTAAAAGAAGAAAAACTACCACAACAAGAGGACATAGCCTTAAATTAGAGGGACAAAGGTTTAAAAATAATATCAGGAAGTATTACTTTACTGAGAGGGTAGTGGATGCATGGAATAGCCTTCCAGCTGAAGTGGTAGAGGTTAACACAGTAAAGGAGTTTAAGCATGCGTGGGATAGGCATAAGGCTATCCTAACTATACGATAAGACCAGGGACTAATGAAAGTATTTAGAAAATTGGGCAGACTAGATGGGTCGAATGGTTCTTATCTGCCGTCACATTCTATGTTTCTATGGTTCTATTTATAGTGTTCCTTTAAGGCCAAAATAGCCAAAATGAAAGAAGTGACTTGGAGAATTTTTCTAATTCACATATTTTGGACTCATTTTTAAAATTAACATTATTGAATAACAGTGAACTCTAAAATGAGTAAAACATTCTGTACACATCAATTAGCATTCAGGAATACAAACCTTTCTGCTCATCTAGTGAACAAACTGGAGTAGGAAACAAGGTAAGTGGTTGGAGGATATCATTGTACAGCTGACTTAATTTCTTAATATTAATTAGGTCTCCTGGCATAGGGTTCGACTGCTTTTTGATTTTCCGCAAAGAACTGCGATTTCCCACTTGATTTAACATGTTTATAAATATATCTAAAAGACAAACAATAGAAAAGAAAAATATACAGTTAAAAAAGACAATACTAATATTAGGTTCTTCAGTCACTGGTATTTTCTGGGTAAATCTTTGCAGATGACAGTTCTGCCACCTAATCATCTTACCTGCTTTTATTTAACCCCTTCAGCAGCACTGTTAGGCAACCTTGCTACCAAGTCTGCCCTGGTGGCGCATCTATATTGAAGAGGTTTAAAGGATTTATACGGAGGCCAGAGAGTTATTGTTTTTTGTGGGCTGTTATCACAGAAAAAGAACGTGGCCGAGCAGAGCGGTTGCAGGGAAGCTCAGCTCCTGCTAACAACGACCCTATAATGCCAATAAAAAACAGACTTAATCACCTATTGTGCCAAAAACTGTGACCCTAGATGGATAAGGGCTACCGGAACCGGGGAGAGGCTTGCTCACTAAGTTTTAGTCCCCCGGTGGGGAGATCTCTGCAGCACCAAGCGGGAACCTTCCTGGCAGGGAGTGGTGTGGACGGCCGCTGCTCCACTATCCCGCCTAACGGAGCCCGACAGACAAACTATATCTATGCGGACCCGGTCCCAGACCCCTGGGCCGTGGGGTGATCCCGGTCCCCACCCCACAGCCGCACCCGGAGGCCATGACATACCAGGCTGCAATGAAGGCCCGAAGCCCAAAGCAAAGATGGCGACGGAGCCCGACAGACAAACTATATCTATGCGGACCCGGTCCCCCCCTCCTCTAGGCGGTGATCCCGGTTCCCACTCCACAGCCGCACCTGGAGGCCATGACATACCAGGCCGCAATGAAGGCCCGAAGCCCAAAGCTAAGATGGCGGCGGCCACGTGTGAAGAGCCTACTTACAGAGCTCGGAATAGACCGCTTATCTCCGCCGCATAGACATGCAAGGAACCCAGCAACAAGTAAGCAATGCGGGGCCCCAAGGGGACACCTACCCTCAGAGGCAGACGGGGGAAAGGGTGGAGACGCAGGGCAAATGGTGGCACAACGGATACCGCTACTGGCGCCATACACCGCATACCCTCTAATAGAGCCAAGAGGCAGGAGCCCATGTCAGTGCATTGCATCCCCCTCCAACCTACCAAATAGCGACTCCTGCCCAGCAAAAGCCCAAAAAGCAACACACCACGACCGTGGATCCACAGCAAAACAGGTAAGACCCCACGGAAGGCATACAACAAGCTCCAGCTCAAGGGGACACTGAGCGGACATTCCTCACTTAAACGAGAATACCAACGCAAAACTGATCAAGTAAAGAGAGCACATTGCCTGAGTAACAACCTCACAGAATATACACATGTGGTGGCAGCATACCGGCACACTTATCAAGACTACCCCATGCCCAACTGAGGCCGCAAGGCCGTAAGTGCCGACACCAACTGTCAGGAGCCGGCTCAGAGACTCTCAGGGACGCTAACTACATCTTATTTACAACAGTACTTATGTCCCCCTTATAATGGTGTGGTCACTGAGAACTTAAAATCCGAAATTGCCTTCCTTTATGTTTTTCTGACCACCGATATTTCTAACATACCCCCAAGCAGCACACACAGCTTCCCACTTACACACAGACTGAGGGGACACGCTCACACGAGGTCCACACCCCTACTCACACGAGGTCCACACAGGCACACAATACTCGACCACTTAACGCTATACGCACTCAGGGGCTCCTGTGTCTGATGGCTCGGGGTGACTGACACAAAGCGCAGACACCCTCTCCAACTATAACACTCCTGCATAAGCGGGGCATTGGCTGAGTCTGCTGTACCATCGAGACATTAGCCCTCAACCATGAGGTGCAGGCAGGTTGGATGACTAGCGAATAAGCCGTCTTGTGTGTGTGTCTATTCAGCAGACTGTGTGTATGTATTCAGCAGTCTGTGTGTGTATGTATTGCATTTGTTGGAGATACTAATAAATATAAGCTTAATTTTATCTATTTATATCATTATTTTAAATTTGTATAATTGAACTCTCTGTTGTGTTCTTTTAAAACAAAAGTTGTTAATTAGTTCGGACAACAGTACAAGTTGTTTTTCTAAACTTAAACCTCAGTATTGAGGTTTAATTGCCGTGCTGGCACTTTAAGGAAATAAAAGTTGTCATGTATTGCGGTGTGGGCACTCGGGCTCAAAAAGGTTCGCCATCACTGACATAGGGCTAGGGTCCTACTTACTTTACACAGGCTCAAAGTAGCTGTTTTACTGCTAAATATCACTACTCTATGCAGTGCGGAGGTTTGTGAATACAGTTGTCCTGCATTGTACAATGTGTACACTGCAAGAGGTACAATAATGAAATAATCACTGTCAGGGTATAATCAGTAAGCTGCAGGGGGCCCTGTAACTACAAGTCTTTTATTCAACTTTTTGTTGAATTTCCGTTCAAGAAAGTTATTGTAAATAATTATAATAAGTAAATAATTATAAAAGTCATAGCAAATAGTAATATTCTTGTTACTGAGTGTAAACACCCCAAAACAATTCACTTTGGGAAAAGTTGAACATTTGTTCTGGCAATCCTATACACACATCATCAAACTAGTTAAATATATGTTGTTTTTTATTTATCTTTTTTTATTCTGGAAACAGTATTCTTGACAGATTAATGGCTACAATACTATGAGGCTTTCCAGTGATTAATTCACCTTTAGAGCAGCAGAGAGTGGAAGGGTGCGGCACACACGGGGTTAATTAATGCATGCTATCGGTGGGTATGATAGCTGGGAGAGATCACCGGTGCTGGCTGCTTAGTACATACCCGGATGTTCTCGCTGGTTCTATGGACCGGGGCCTGATAGTCTTTCCATGGGCTGGAGCGAGCAGGGCGTCCGTTGCTAGGCAACCGCTAACAGTGGCAGGACGGCCCTATATACAGGCCCAAATAAATAAAACTTCACATTACAGCATTCAAACTTCACTGCTTTTCTGTTTTTCAACATAATTCGTAGGATTTAGTGTTTTTTTTTTTTAAATTATATATATATTTTTTTATTAGTGTTTTGTTATAGCAGGACACAAAAGCACTATATCAACAATGGCAGGACCAGCTTTATTGACATGATTTCTACAAATGCATATAAAAGCTTCTATTTTGGATATTCAGAAAAACAGCTCTTGGTACCTGGTTGCATTTGACATGGCTTTCTTGAACTCATGATCACAGCATGAGATCAAGGAAAATAGAACTTATTAAATGTTGGATTGGAAAGAAGGAATGGAAAGTAACGTATACTATTATGACTAATATTGGGTTTATTTTTTATGGGTTTTTTTTTAACAATATTTGATATAGAAATGTTAATACATGAAGAAATTTCAGAGGTAAAGAATCAGGAAAGTGTCACTGTTCTTCTTATTATATACTCACTGACAGACACACACACCGAAACTCACTGACAGACATACACTCACTCACTGACAGAGAGACACACAAACACACACTCACTGACAGTCATACACTCACTCACTGACGGACACACACTCACTGACAGACACACACACACACACACACACACACACACAGAAACTCACTGACATACATACACTTACTCACTGACAAAAACACAAACACTCACTGACAGACAAACACTCATTTACCGACAGACACACGCACACTCACTGACAGACACACACACACACACACACACACACACAGACATTCCCTGACAGACACACACACACACACAGACACTCACTAACAGACATACACTCACTCACTGACAGACACACACACTCACACACCTCACTCCTGCTGTTTAGTATGACGGGGCCGGAATGACGTCATATTCCAGCTACCGGCATCACAGAGGGCGCGTGATGGAGGAGTGAGCGGCTGCAAGAACAGCCTCCCTCGCCGCCTGGCTTAGACTTCCCCCTCTCTTTCGGACACTTACTGGCATTTGTTGGCAGAGCAGGCACCTGCCATCAAGGTAAGCAGGTGCATGTTCTGCCTCACCTAGCACATCTTTGGGGTGGCTGCCCCCAGCAAATGCCTAGTTGGCCTAACGGTTGTGCCAGCCCTGGAGATGATGTATGTTCCTCAGAGAGATGCATCAAATCATTGTGTCTCTATGAAAAGATGTTCATTGGAGCAGTGCAATGATTTGTACATGTGCACTAGCCTCCCAATGCTTTTGGATTGGCTGAGATCAACAAGATTAGGCAACCGCTGGGGGACCAGTGCTGCAATGGAGTAGAGTTACTTTTTTAACATAGTAGAACATTATAGTGTTAGGAACACAAATGCTATGGATTTCTTTTAATAACAGGGGATGTTTGAGAGGAAAAGCATTCACCAGAGAAGCTGACAAAAATAATGGAAGACTGGACCTGGACACTTTGCGTAGTGGTAGTATAGTAACCAATAAAGTTTATCCAATGCATGATTTTGTTCTATCTGTCTAGAAAGAGATAGATAATATAAAACTGCGAGAGAAGTGTGGTATGTGGGACACCGTTACTGTCTGGAATACACAAAAAGTTTACATTTAGAAGCAGGCTGTAGTGATTATGGTGACAAGAGTTCCCTGTGGTGTCTTCCCAGTGTAGGTAGTCAAACTGTTTAAGAACAGTTGGACAAATGACATGGGGTCTGCTGGGCGTCTGACACTGCTTCCTTTTCAGATGGGAGCTTCAGCTACTGAGCGTGTATAGCTGTAACCCTTAGCCAATGATCTGGCCCTGCACTGAAGGACTTGACTCTGGAGAGCAAATTGAAGCTCCTCGCAGGAAGAGAAGATGTCAATATGGGCCCCTGGTAAGTGAAATAAACTTGGAAGGCATCAGGGCACTCCCGGCACCATAACAATTTACCATCCTTGCTCCCAAAGCCAATTTCCTGTACAAATAAGTGACATACTTCTTTGTGAAATCATGTCTCTATCCCGCCACCCATTTCTCAATGCCTCCCAACCTTCTCAATTTTGTGGGAACAGACCCGACTTTCGGGTCTTATCCCGCCATCCCCCCCTTAGTTCCCTACTGTCCCGCTTTTGGGAACACCAGTAAACTGTCCCCAGGAATCATAACACGAGGTCATCCGTAGACCCGCTCATGCTATGTTTAGGGCACTAGGACCATGCAAGGAACACTGTTTTAGTGCTCCCTGCAGGATCTGTTCTCCAGTCCCTTTATGGATCTTTTACTTCCCCACAGCCCATTTGTGTTTTTCTTACTATCCCCAGCCCATTTGTGTGTCTCTTACATCCCCAGACCCCTTGTGTGTCTCTTACTCCACCTAGCCCTTTTGTGTCTCTTTCTCTACTCAAGCTCTTTTGTGTGTCTCTTATTTCCCCCAGCCCCAATTTATACACAATTAGCTTAGCAACATTTTTCATTTTGTTTTGTCCTGTATATGGGAATATCTCACATTTATAGGACTATAATCAGTTATAAAAATGGCATTTTAAACAAGGCGATAATTACTTTATTCAAGCAAAAGTTTACTGGTGTTCATTAACTGAGCACTGGATTGAGGTGAAACGAAAAATTCAAGACAAAACTGAGGCTAAAATAGCCGATTTGGAAACGTAGAAATTAAGTCAGTAATAGTTACACTTTGATTGTTTTTATAAAAGTTTTGCAGTTCGCTCTTTGAAAAACTGCATCACTAAGAGATCTGCCTACTTTGTAAAGCACACTTACAATTTTGACAAATTCATTTACAGGGTACATATGTTATGCAAAAGAAGACTTCATGGACTTTTACACATTTTTGGCATTTTGAGTCTTTTTCATCTATGCCATTCTGTGAGGCAAAGGAAGTATGTGACAGCCAGGCTTGGTAAATCGTGACCAGCAGCTGTTCTGTCGAGATGTTCCTACATGCTATACTCTTAAACTCTATAACTCTAGCTGGGGTACTGGTTTACTCAACTTACATTTTCATACAGGTCTCCGATTCACCTAACGATACCTAAGTGTTTTCTTCCTCATGATTATGCAAGTGAAACACTTCCACTATCTAATGCTACTCCATCTTGTTTTATCTTCTCTTATCAAAAGAATTGTGCACTGTAACTCCATGCCATGCCTATGTACCACTATGTATAATTATATATGTATGCTGATGCTGTCGTGGCACCACAAACTTGCTAGTAACCTCCCACACTACAAAAAAAATGGCCTCTCTGGGCTTCCATAACTTGGAAAGTCAATGCTCTTAATATTATAATGAGTTTTGTCTCTCTTCAAATGGTTTCTCATGAAGACCCAACACCACACCATTGTACAACACACTTCCGTCACCAATCAGATCAATGGAACTTTTCCTCCCCACACCCTAAATCCTCTCCTGCACCCAATGTTGTGGATCAAACCAAGTGTTTTTTTATTTGAATATCTGCCCGTCCAAATTGTTTTACGATAAGTGCATGCACGCTTGAAGTAAAATCACACTGAGACACAGGTTTCAGGTTAATGAAACACTTCGGAATGTTTACTTGGGGGGCGGCAAGCCCCTTATAAAGGCAGAAATACATCATATGCAAAAATATAGATTACAGAAAGAATACATCTTTAATTGGTTAGGTGTTAAGTGTCTTATCTAACGCACATCCTACAAGGCGTGAAGTCACCATCTTACCGGGATTTTACTCCGGATACAGGCGCCATCTTGTTACACGAGGTAGTTAGTCGATGGGAGGGGATGCTCTAGCAGCCATTTTGAGTAAATATTGAATACAGGTTTGCATAGTAAATAGACATTTTACCAATACTATTTTACGTCCATAATACCATCATCAAAACAAAAACACTAAGCCATCAGTGAATACTACCCTAACAATGTAATTTTCTACCCTACCCTTACCTTTTGTGTCACTATACCCCACTCCCTCTAGCATATAAACTCACTGAGCAGGGCCATCAATCCCTATGTTCCTGTGTCCAACTCATCTGGCTACAAATACATGTCTGTTAGTCCACCCATTGTACAGCACTGCAGAATTTGTTGGCGCCCTATAAATAAGAATAATAGTAATACTAACAATACGGAAGAAGAGTAGCAGAATACAAATATGGGGTGTTTACAGTATAGTGACTCATTTTCTCTAGCCTGGGGAATGTACTTTCTACAATTTTATACTTTTGTGTAGCGGTTTTGGATTCTGTGACTACTATAAAAGTTGTAATCTCAGCATGCCAAAATGTGATCTTTAAAACCATAATTCACTACTTGCAATATTTGTTATATAAATTCTCAACAGTAATTGAAAACCTAGACACGGAGCCAGGGCCGGCGCGTCCATAAGGCGGCACAGGCAGCCGCCTTAGGGCGCACCGGCCCGGGGGCGCAAATGTCCGGGTGACCGGCAGGAGAGAAGCGCACAGCGCCCCTCTCCTGCCGGTCTCTTCTTGTAGCGTGGCCGAGCGCCAACCTGCAGTGCCGCGGACTGTGTGGAGGGGGTGGGGATATGAACGTCATATCCCTGCTCCCTCTGTAGCACACAGCGCGGCTGGTGCCCAGCAGGGGCGGAGCTACCACCGGCCCCTTTTTGTCAGCATGGGAGGAAGTCCTCCCAAGAAGACTAGAGCAGCAGAAGGCAGAGAGGAGGGGGGCTGGGCAGGACCAGCTCCTCCAACTCCCAACTACCTCAGGCAGCACTCTGGATCCCAGGTAAGCCACCCTCCTGAACCTGTTGGTCAGTGTGTCTGTGTGTATATCCAAGTCTGTCAGTGTGTGTGTGTGTATATGTCTGTCAGTGTGTGTGTATATGTCTGTCAGTGTGTGTGTATATCTATGTCTGTCAGTGTGTGTGTATATGTCTGTCAGTGTGTGTATCTATGTCTGTCAGTGTGTGTATCTATGTCTGTCAGTGTGTGTGTGTGTATATGTCTGTCAGTGTGTGTGTATATGTCTGTCAGTGTGTGTGTGTGTATCTATGTCTGTCAGTGTGTGTGTATATGTCTGTCAGTGTGTGTATCTATGTCTGTCAGTGTGTGTGTGTATGTAAATGTCTCTGTCCGTGTGTCTGTGTGTATCTAAATGTCTGTCAGTGTGTGTGTGTCTGTCTTTGTGTGTTTGTGTATGTCTATCATTGTGTATGTGTGTATCTGTATGTCTGTCAGCGTGTCTGTATGTCAGTGTGTGTTTATCTGTATGTCTGTCAGTGTTTGTGTGTATCTGTATATGTGTGTCTGTCTATCTGAATGTGTATCAGTTTGTGTATATGTATATCTGCATGTGTGTCAGTGTGTGTATCTTTGTGTATGTGTATCACAGTGTGTGCGTGTGTGGCAGTGTATGTGTATATGTGCATATATCTCGGCATTCAAACACCAACACTACACACAAATAAACACCTGCATGCAAACGTCAACACTACATACAAACACACCACTGCATTCAAATGTCAACACTACAAACAAACACACCTCTGTATCAGACACCAAAATTATATATAAACACACACCTGCGTTCAAAAACCAACACTACACATAAATGCATGCTTGCATTCAAATGCAAACACTACATACAAACACACCGCTACAATCATACAAACATACTCCATACAAACACATGCTTACAGTCAAACACACAAATACTGCTCCATGCTAAATACAATCCTGCAAGCATGGGGAATCGGTAGAGCCCCAGCTTTCAAAGCATCGTTGAAGTTGCACGACAGATGGGGATCTATCTTTTAGCCATCCTGTGTACATACACAGACCGTCATACAGAGACACACAGTATGTATGTCTCTGTATGAACCGTCATACAGAGACATACAGTATGTATGTCTCTGTATGACTGTGTGAATATATTCAAAAGGAATAAACGCAGGCAACACTCCAATAGTAAGGATGGTATATTTATTGATAGGTGAACCACCCCAAAGAAAGTGTGTCGTTTCGGCTCAGCAGAGCCTTATTGCATGAGCTGAAACATCACACTTTCTATGGGGTGGTTCACCTACCAATAAATATACCATCCTTACTATTGGAGTGTTGCCTGCATTTATTCCTTTTGAAGACTTTACTGGTGGATCCAGCAATGTCTGCCTGACATGGAGCATCCACCTCTGTTGATGGCCGGAGCATTTACACGGTATCAGTGTGCAGGGTTCTTTGTTTATCTGTATAAACGTAGTATGTATGTCTCTGTATGCCTATGTTTCTTTATGTCTGTGTCTGTATTTCTGTGTGTGTCTGTATGAATGTATGTCTGTGTTTGTATGACAATGTACCTGTATGTGTAGATTGTATGACTGTGTTTGTTTGTGTGCCTTTTATGACTGTGTGTCTGTATATCTTTTTGACTGTGTGCCTGAAAAATTATGTCTGTGTGCTTGTATGTTTGTGTATTTGTGCATGTATGTATTTTTGCCTGTATCTATGTCTATGTGGGAGAAAAAGAGAGATAGGGGCTGGCGGGGAAGTAAGAAATACATAAGAGGTGTTGTAGGAGACACACTAAAGGTGGGTGTAAGGCACAAAGGGGCCAAAGGGATAAGACATTCAAGAGAGTGGATATGCAACACTAATGGGGGTAAGAAATTCAAAAGGGGGCTACGAGACACAGAGGTGAAGATGCATTGTTTATTTTTTTTTGGGGGGGGTGGGGCGTCAAAATGCATCTTCGCCTGTGTAGTCAAAAATCCTAGCACCGGCCCTGCACGGAGCCAGATAAAGCTGGTCCTAAGCAGGTTGCCAATTTGGGGCCCAATCCTGGAGCCTTTGGCCCTGTTTCTGTAAGTGGTGTGTGTGTGAGAGAACATGTGTAGTGGCTGAGAATTGTGTGTGTGTAGGAATGCGGAGAGCTGGTTGGAGGGGGTGGTGGGGGGGGGGGAGCTGAGTGTGTCTATATGTCTAGCATTATATACCTATGCATGTCCCTGTAAGTGTGGTACTTTTGT